ACAGGCTACCTAATTGTTTTCACTAGTTACGGTGGTGTGAGAAAATTTTATGCTTTCGAAGGATGAATAAGGTGGAAGAGAAACTTTTTTTTTATAAAGGCCATATTTTTCCGGTTTTTTTTTTTCAAGATCACCTTTGCTTTTTACAGGAATATATATATTTTAGGAATTTATGTGTATGTAATACACATTACTTAAACGATCTTTTAAAACCTTCCATTTTTTGCCATTTCCCCACTTTACCTAGAGAAGATAATAAGGTGGCCTGTTTTACCTGGTCCACCCTTATAATTCCTTGATTAATTGAAGAACAATTGATTCGCGTAATTCTTCATCATTTTAATTGCAAGCAAAATTATTGTTATTAAGCTGTTCTACATTAATTCAAGTTACTTTAAAAAAACAGTAATTATTATCCTCATGTCAAATATTTATTTGTTTATTTATATTTATCTTTAGCCATTTGAATTTTAGAATAATTGAATTCAATTTAACAAGCTTCGAAAATGTAACTACGTGAAATATGCATATATAAATTCTATATTGTATATATTCCATTGTTCTTTACAGCAAGATAATTGTGTACAGTATCGTTTATATTTCTACGAAATTGAAAATCTGGTTCCCTTCTTGAGGGATAGAAAAACAGGATTTCGAATAACCCTAAACAGACACAGGAAAGTAGAGAAGACAATAATGCTAAACATGGTCGCACATGGCCCTTGAGAAACACATTGGTATGTGCTGCACCCCACGCTTTCTTTGAAAAAAAAGACTTTCACCGAACTCAAGTATTATTCAAGAATTTTCCAACCACTTGGTTCACGAATAGTGACCACAATACCGGTTTATAGTACATTTCAGAACGAACCACTTAAACATCTGCGTAAGTGCACCAGAATTTTAAACATTTTCAAATTTCAACTAACATTAATGTTTATATTATAATAGTTTGAAATGACACGTCGTGGAAAGGTGTATTTTACGGAAATATATTCTGAAGATACATATATTTTCAGAAGCAACAAGTCTCTAAAGATATATTTACACAGAAAGTACAACCTAAAGGCATATTTTCATAGGAAATATGCCGAAAGTAGTTTCATTAACTATGTAAATGAAAATAATTTACTGAAAGTGTCTACACGTAGTAAGAGTATTTCTGTCATATGGATAAAAAGAAATTGTTTTATTCTGTAACTGTGAATTGTAAAACTGAGAGAATTAGTGGTGATTAAAAAGCAGCGATGAAGTAGTTTCTGATCAAAAATTATTTTCAGAATGTTATGCTGTACATTGTACAGTGATGATTTGTATAATCAAATTTACAATTCTTTGTTGATCATTTTCCATTTGATTTTTAAAATGTGCGTTGATAAAATAAAAATTATACTATATCTTGTTAAATTAATTATTAAATTAAATAAAGCAACATAAAATGGCTACAAAACATGTGTACCATCTACCTATATTTTTTACTGAATCATTTTTTGGTTTACATTACACCAAATTACTGTAATTACATTAAAATACTTTTAAATAATAAAAAATTAGATATATTTAGACCGGATTATACAAATGACAAAATCAAAATAACAGTATATAAACATGTTTTAGTATATACAATTTTTCTTTTATCATACCACTGAAAGGAAAAGAATAATATCTAATTCATGTTGCCTGCTAATATACCATGTAACGCGATCACTTTGAATTATTCTCTACTTATTGTTAGTGCACCGATCGAAATTTTCTTTTTTAAAGACATTCTTAGATTTTTGTTGATAAACTTATAATTATGTATGGATGTTAAAACAATGTTCCAAATGGTGTCCTTCAGTTGTAATACACTCTCGTATACGGTAAATAAGTAAATTTCTTTCTTTAAAAAAAAATGGGAGGCGAGTATAAAAATTTCGAAAAAAAAAAAAAAACAAGCGATAGAAAGTATACTATTGTCATCTTAAGGAACTCTTTGAACCATATTAGGCGACACAAAAAATTTCAATCACTTCGCTGACAATAGAATATTTTAAGGTGATCACGTTACACGGTTCACCCGGTATATTGAATAAATCACAGACATGTACTACTGAAAAGAAGTGAAAAGCGTGCTCTAATCAAACAAAGCTCCGGCATCCTATACATTCTTGTTGCAACGAAAGTATTATTCAGGAAATATAGTAACATATAACGTTACTATTTAGGGATTGGTGATTATTCATTTTTCTTTTACGAACGTCTGTTTAACGTTAATAGAACGTAAAATAAGGTATAATAAACGTTGTTTGAAGCATAATAACGAGGATACGGTTTACCTCGTACAAAGAGTATAAGGAAGCCCGAGAATCCAGGAAATAATGACTAATACAGTTACAGCAAAGTTAATCAAAGCTACCGTTAAAAGAATATTACTTTGCTGTTATACGACACTCTACATGTATCAGCAATAATAATAAAATGTAGGTACTTGTATCATTATCGACAGTAGATAAAGTAACGATTTCATTATGTGATCGATATGTTGCAAATGTTGCAAGAAAAGAAAAATTCTTAGTATTTACTTAGATACTAATAGGATATTTATTTTACTTCAGCTGATATATGAGAAATTCTTGTGTTGGTAAAGGAGGAATTCTTCAAAAATATTCGAAGAAGTTCTAGAATGTAAAGAAAGCAAGGGTAAGGAAATAGGAGATGGGAAAGAAATAAAGTAAAAGAAAGAATTCTTACGCAGCACGGTATTCTAAAGGAAAATTAAATGAAATTCATATCGTTTATCGAAGCGGTAAATAATTGATCGACTTTGTCATTTATATTAGCGTATCTTACGCGGGCAATTGGTAGTAACGGTATAATCACCGTAACAAAGCCGCGTATGAAATAAAACCGTCAGAACTGCGTTCGTTCTCTGCCCGTCGCGCCTCGGTGATCCCGAAAAAATGCAATCTTTTGGAATGTTGAGTTGCTCGACGAATGCATGTATCATTTAAAGAACTCATTCGAACATATGTACCTACGAAATCAACCAATTCAGATTCTCCTAAGGGAAATTTCTCGATTCGAAGATGTTCGACAATGTGTACTTGGAGTAATGCGTTTGAATTAGTTTATAGTTTTATTTAAAACGAAAAAGGAGAAGTAAATTCTTGAAGAAATTAAAAGGAAAATTCTCTTTTCCCTATTCCATTGTAATAATTGTTTTCCTCTTAAATTCGTGATATTTACAATATTCGTAATAATTATATTACAAATAAATAATATTAATATTACAATATTTGTAATAATTATATTACTAACCGTTATAGAGTTAATAGCATGTCTCTGGCAATGGTAAAATTTTGTAAACGTTGAATAAAAAACGATACACCTGTTACGAAGTCTAGCCGAGTCTTTTTTCGCTGACGATAAGAAGAAAGAAAAATGATTGAGGCTCGCATCGTCCGGCAGGTATAACGACGAATGCGGAGCCTCTGTCCGATGCAGTAGCTTTGTATGTATAGATATTATGTGTGTCGTTCAAGGCACGCACCTGAGCGTGAAGCGAGGGACCAGCGTTAATGCACTGACGTGGCTTCCACCTGCACTAGACGAGTCGAAATATGCTTTTCTTTTACCCAGAAATTCGTGGCCCAACTGTTTCAGTTTTACGCTTGGCGGCGCGATTTCTCGACGTGGATTTTCGCCAAGAATCCTGACCGCATAATATCGGCGTATACTTTACATGAAGCGTTCCTAACAGCTCTCGTTAATCTCACGAATTACTTAGGTTAATTAGCATTAATCGAGAGCGAACATTGTAGAAACTAGTTTCATTATCGTGTGTACTGGAGGTTCTTCGCGGTTAGCGAATATTCTTAGAGAAGCTTTCACGAATGAAATTATGCGTATAGTAGATGATACGAATGGAAAGTAACCTAAAATACTTGGGAATAAGTTGATAGATGGTAAGAAAACTTAATATTCGAATGAAATAGGATTGATTTTGATGCATAGGGGAAACGATAAAGGGGGAATTGTAAAACATAAGATATCACAATGAGATTTAAGACGATCGATATTCTACTGGTCTGCTTTACGAACACAATATTCTATACATATTTATGCTGTTGCACGCATTATGTACGCAGGAATACTAATAATTTCGTTCTTGAATAAAACATACATGTACAACGTACTTTGTGATTATTTTAGTTGTTTAATAGACTAGCTGGGTCATTGCACTAACATTATCGATCAGACTCTTACAATTCCGAGTTTAATTCTTTTGTCCGTGTAGCATTGTACTAAGCGATCACATAAATTCAAAAAATATTCGAGCGTTAGGAGTTTTCAAGTTACTCGTACACCATTTGCAGTCGAATGCAGAGACTTCAACACACGTACATAGACTATGTGGTAAGTGTGTAGTAATCGTTCATTTCAGGAAATATACTTAATTGTATCAATAGAAATATTAAGAAAAAACTGCGTGTAAAAGTGTGTGTAAAATTTGCGAAAATACGTCCTTACAAGCATAACAAACAGTTGGAAAACGAAATAATGTAGATGAAAAATTGATAGTACTGACAGAAAGAGTTTCAAGGATATGTAAGAATTCCATGAAGCAGAACAACGTTTATTTTAGCCTATCCTAGTATACACGCAAATATAACAGTACTTCAGGTAGACGATCAGGTGTGCGGAACGGTTTGGCAGGGCGGCCTCCCCACCTGTCATGAATTCGACGCTACCGAGTTCATCGTTTGCGTTAATTCATGTAAAAAACTGAACGGCAATGTAGCGTAGATTACCCGCGCTACAGAAACTAAAGATAAAGAAACAATATGGATCACGTTGTACTTTAATGTCGATCAGTGACTAGATTTCATTCGATTTTGTTCGCGTTCATATGTCGGATCATGGATCGCAAAGAGTTTTGGGGTCCGCAGCGGTGAGCAAAGAGAAACGCGTAGCAAGAACGACGCACGAATGGCGAACATGCCCGGGGCCTTACTCACCTGCCACGACGTATCGCGCCCGCATTTTCGTCGACCGGTTTAGAGATCTGTAGTCGAACTCGAGGACACCCGCACTTACGGCGTCTCTTGCTATACATTCACTTACGAGACATCCTCGATCACAGCACTTGTCGCCGTTCCTTTTATTTTACGTTGATTCAGGTAAAACACACGCTTTTGCTTTTCACACACTATAGAGCAGTTTTGTTCGCTTCGCTCCTTCACCGTGACACATCCACCCGCGTAAACTATGACCGCCGATAAACACACAGCGAGCGAGACTGCGGCTCTTCTGGAGAACGTCGCTTGGCTGTTGTAAAGTCTCCCTCCACCGACTCGAAGTACCTTTGCTTCGGCACTAGCGTGTTACGGCCCTGTCTCGTTACCGACACCGACTGGATCGTTTCTATCTCTATCTTTCTTTTGATCACAGTGCCAGGTGCGGATCAACAGATTGCGCTCTAGGCAGTTTCACTGTCTTTGAAATTCAATCCTCGGTCAGTGGACTTCTTAATATTATACCCTTATGAAGGTTTTATATGTTTAAACTGTTATTGACAAAATAGAATTTTATTCTACGATTTTAAATCATTTCAGATTTTTAAGAAATGACGTACATCAATCGTAAATTATGTGTGGTGAAGTGTATTATAAATGATACTAAAGAAGAAGTTAAATACCTTAATGAATTCAAATAACTTATTGAATAGCATTACCATTAAAATAGCTGGATATTCTAAAAAGATTGGATTATTTCAATGCATACGAAGGAAAAGTGTACAATATGAATTTATTCTGTTTAAAATTTATTAATACTTAAAAATATGTTTATTAACAAGTGCAATAAAAATACGTAAATAATGTAGATGTCAGTTATTTTATTTAATATAAATACAAGAAAAATTAAAGCAATAAATGTTAAAAAAATAATTACCTCTGTCCGTGACAATGCCACTGTTTGCGGACATTGCCGTGACCAGGATTCGAACCTGGGTTACTACGGCCACAACGTAGGGTCCTAACCACTAGACGATCACGGCTACCAGAGGACTTGTGAATTGTGAAGTTTCATACGGTTTTATAGTAAATATAGTATTGTACTTTTTAATAAAATTTTTTCGTACATGTTACATCACAAATTATTGTATATATTTATTGCATCAATACGCAAATACAATTTTATAATAATGTTAATCATAATAAACAAATGGTGATAATGACTAACTTTCAAAGATTATGTTGCCCTCTATTGCTATGTACAGCTATTATATATTACCGACTGAATTTTTTATTTCTTACCGTTTCTTTTAATTATATTTTATATAATTAAAATAACCGTTATACAAAAATTCACTGTAACTACATACATTTTTGCTTCTTCTTTTATTTTGTAATTTTTCAAAGTAATCTATGTAATTAGATTATAATAATAAGTGTTTAGAAATTTAAATATTACATAATTTAGGGAGGCATTCTTTTAATATAATGTGTAGCATTTATTATTATCGAATATAATTATTTCTTAGCGTAACAGTGTAACAATAAAGTGCTTCGTAACAAAATGAGGCACAAATATACATATTTACGAAAATAAATATTAATAACTTCAGATTAAATTTATAAGAAGTACCCCGCTTAGTTATTCATTGTTATATCCCACCCTCTTAATTTCTTTATGCTTCCGGTTCCGGTCTCCCCGTTTCTCTTTGACAAGCCACTTATTTATAGTTTGGCAGGTCAAACTATTTTGTTCGTAGGAAACAAAATCAGTTGTTGTGATAGAAACAAAATCATAACAGTCGTATGGGATTCAGATATATTAAAAAGAGAAATTATTTTAGTGTAGTTCGAAAGCGAGATTTCTCGCTTTTAATATCTAGTATTCGCGTCATGGTTGCTATGAAAATGTCAGCTTAGTGGTGATTCATTCGTTCATTAGCTGGCATTTCATCTGTTTTTTAATAGCACATTCTGCTCGTAGGGCAGGTAAGAGCTCTTTGGCTTTTTGGTTGTTAGCAAATTTAAATTATGAGCAAACAATCCTGTGTATTAGTATTTATTCTTATATTGTATTTGTGTACATATTAATGCAGTTAAGAAAGGTTAAATAGGTTAGGAAGGTGAATAAATATTCTTATTACCGGGATGTTATGTTTGTACATTTTTGAATTTATAATAAGAATTAAGAATGGTTTGAAATAGATTAATTCAGTTAGTTCTAAAGTTAGTATTTTCTTTGTTTTTTAATCAACTTCTGTTTTCGTAAAATTTGTGATAATAAAGTAATAAAAATCTTTCATTTCAATTTTAATACAAAAACTTGTTCTTCATTTAATAAATAATTAGTAATTGGCAGTAAATACTTTTTTTGTAGTTATTTCTTTCATTTTTCAACATGAGAAGGGTATGTTTATTAATTTTTATTATAGTAACTGTAATAATTGTACAATCATATTCTATCAATTTTTTATATTTACCTACATGTTTCTTACACATATGAAGTTATGTATGCAAAAAATGTTTCAAATTTAGGATGATGGAAGAACCATTAAGTCAAGGTGCTTCACCCTCTGGTGATAGCAATTTTTCTGGAAGCGGAGAATTAAGTTCTACTACTATAATGAGTATAGATGAAAGAATGCTAGATATTAATACAAGACATTCTTTAAATGTTCTTCGAACACCACCTACCAAAAAAGCAAAAAGAGTGAGATTTTTTAGAAATGGAGATAAGTTTTATAATGGTATTGTAATGGCTGTAACTCCAGAAAGATATCGTAGTTTTGATAGTTTAGCTTCAGATTTAACAAGAGCTTTAATATCAAGTGTTACTTTACCTAATGGTGTTAGAGCAATTTATACTATGGATGGAAAAAAAGTTCAAAGTATTAATGATTTGGAAGATGGTAAATGTTATGTAGTATCTGGACAGGGAGAAATTTTCAAAAAAGTGGAATATTCATCTACCAAAGTAAGAAGAGGCAGTTCTTTGTCTGGGTTACCACAATCTCCAGCAGGTACTGGTAGACAAATGAGTGCAATACCATTATGTGTGAAAGCAAAAATAATTACTTTAATTCGACATGGTACAAAACCACGCAAAGTTGTACGTCTTTTGTTAAATAAAAGAAACGCTCCAAGCTTAGAGCATGCAATGGCAGCAATCACAGAAGCTGTTAAATTAGATTCTGGAGCAGTGAGAAAAGTCTATACTCTCTCAGGACTACAAGTTATCTCTTTAGAACAATTTTTTGAGAATGATGACATTTTTATTGCTTATGGTGCTGAAAAATCAAACCAAGAAGATTTTGAATTAGATTTTGAAGAATCTAAGAGTGTTCAAAGTTTTCGAAGATGTCCATGGACATCAAAAAGACAAAGTGGTCCAATGCCTAGAATGCCTCGTAAATCTGGAAAAAAAGTGCTTACTACACCACAAGTGCGAACACCAAGTCCTTCTTCCCTAATATTACCACAACCATTACGTTTACATTATGCAGTAGGGCATGTAATAGGAGATGGTAATTTTGCAATTGTTAGGCATTGCATTCATAAGTAAGTATTATAGGAAATTACATTAAATACTAATAATTAAAAATATATGAGGAAGTTTACAAGTAAAAATTTTGTAGATCAACAAATACAGAATATGCATTGAAAATTGTGGATAAGTATAAGTGTCAAGGTAAAGAAACAATGTGGGCAAGTGAAGTGTCAATTTTACGACAAGTTTGTCATCCAAATATTATTAGTTTGATCGCAGAACAAGAAACTACAGATCAACTGTTTTTAGTTATGGAACTTGTAAAAGTATGTTCATTGCAATATATTTGTTAGTTTAAATGTTGAAAATTTAAATTAAGTAATCAAATACTTTATGTTTGCACTATGTTAGGGTGGAGATTTGTTTGATGCAATTGCTGGAGTAACAAAATTCTCAGAAGCTGAAGCTAGTGTAATGATCGGTCATTTAATATCTGCATTGGCCTATTTGCATTCACATCATATAGTACATCGTGATGTTAAACCTGAGAATCTTTTAGTGGAAATGGATGGAAATCATGTTAGATGTTTGAAATTATGTGACTTTGGACTTGCTCAAGTTGTAAGGGAACCTTTATTCACAGTTTGTGGCACACCTACATATGTAGCACCAGAAATCCTTGCAGAAACTGGATATGGTTTAAAAGTATATTACTTTTTGAAACATATATTATTTAATTTAGTCATTTAAATTTGAAATCATAAGAGATAAAATAAACTTGAACTATTTCAGATTGATGTATGGGCAGCTGGTGTAATATTATATATTTTACTCTGTGGCTTTCCACCATTTGTTTCATTTACAAATAAGCAAGAAGAATTATTTGAACGCATTTTAAGTGGCCAGTATGATTTCAGATATCCATCTTGGGATAGTGTTTCAGACTCTGCTAAACAGTTGATTTCAAATATGCTCCAGGCACAACCTGAATTGAGATTCAGTGCAGAAGATGTACTTGATCATCCATGGCTGATGGTAACTGTCATTACATATTAATTCCATAATAGAAAACCTAATTTATTATCTTGCATGGCTTATTCCTATTTATTAAAAGTAACATATGAAAAATGTATTGTTACTATTATGGTGAATTGTTCTTTTAATTGCATAAATATTCAGTTTATATTATTTTCTTTATCAATTTGCTTATTAATTATAACCTTTTGCCACAATGGTAGCTTAAATTTACTGCCATATAGAATAATGTGCTTTCTTATTATATGGCTTTATCTTTGCTATCTGAGCACAATGCTAGGAAAGCTTTTGTAGTGGTTTGCTGTATCTGTAGCAGTGCTTTTGTTTTTCTTCTGTCCCACCTCTGTACATCAGCAGAGCCTTCTAGGCGAGCAGACCACAGCATCAACACCTACCAATCCGATGGAGCAACACAGGAATCAGCGTAAGCCGATGAAATGGGAAATGTTTGATTTCGACTTCTTAAACAATACAGTTCGAAGTAGCAGTTCGCAGGATGAAGCTGATGGTGATTCTGATGGCAGGACAAATATTAGAAACAAGCAAAGTGAAGTTATATCATCAATAGAATCAAAAAGCATTCACTTATTTTATGAAAAAATCCAGAAAAATTAACTTTAATAGTAGACACCCTAGCGATGATGAACCTGTGTCTAATAGTGTAGAATGTTTACAATGATTTTAGTCAATTTATGAACATTTTTATAAACAAACGAAAATCAAGTTTAGTACTATTGTTTAAAGCCATCATAGAGTGAAACATCTTTGAGCAGTATTCCTGTTTACTTTATCAGTGCAGATAAACATTACTAAATAGTTGTCAAAACTCCTTCAATTTAAAATATTGCAAAGTATGAGAACAATTCAAACTGAAATATGCCAATCTTTTGATAGGAAAAATCAGGATTTGTCTAATGAGACTAATAATATACCTATTATGTCAGATGTATTAATTGGCACCATGCACGTTTGAAACACTTGGATCAGCCAATTCTGTGACAAGTAAACAAATATATGTGAAAAACATCTTTATGAGATCTCTAGTAGTACTGAAAAGACTGCTCAAAATGTCAGATAATTTAACTGGTAGACCCAGCAACAATATGGAGATATAACACAGTTTTGTAAATATTTAATTTGCACAATTAACTTAGGATCAAAGATAAAGTACTACACAAAGTATGAAATCAACTGATAGTTTTGAAAATACTTGATACTCTTATAATGAAGAACTAGGAGGTGAATATATGCGTGATCCAAATGAAAATAGTTGAATCTTACAAAAAATTGTTTAGCAAACCAAGAAAGGCAAGCAAGAAAATATTACAAGAACAAACAATATAAAAATAAATACATCGAAAGTTTCTAAATCACATATTTCAAATGATAAAAAGGGTTTATTAAAAATAACAAATAAATCGAAATGTACGAAGAATAAGGCAGTGAAATTTAATAGTGAAAAATGTACATTAAAAAGTGATATAAATTTGAGAATAGCGTTAAAAAAAGAAAAGTTTTGTCACTATTTTACAGATAAATAGCAAGATAAGAAACAAAAACGAAAAGATTCAATTAACATTATACTCTTCAACCTTTGCAAAAGATTTATGAAGGAAACATGAAAACTGCGAAAAATACATATAAAAATGATTGGCAAAAGAACAAAAAATTATCAGACATACATAGGTAATAAGACAATGTGTTAAAATTCAATGAAAAAATAAGGTATAAAAAATTGAAGTCAGTTGTAGGTAGTATATCAGCTGCCAGTAGTAGCAAATTGAGCAAGCAGTGTGTTCACATTTAACATTGTACATCCAACTTTAATGATCGATGGAACAAAATGATTGTAATTAGATATATTTATACTGAAAATGATCGATGCGGGACTGATCCGCTACAAAAGTCCAAAGTTGTAATAATTATTTTAATGTAAGTGCAAAAGTCGATTTAACCAAGGAAGTGACGTCATTTGTTCTTAGATTTTGAAAACATTGATCTAAATCAATAATTCAGATTAGAACAGGTGGACTTCACGTATGAACGAGACATGCCAAATGCATTTAAGTAGTTTATTTTATATTTGATATCTATTATTGTACGTAGTACAAGTATTGAATTGAACTAGGCGGTAGAAATTGGTTCGTCCTCCTTAAGGCGTGAGCAAGTAGCAAAACACAATTGTAGTATGAGATGAAAACTGTATTAATAATACGTAAATCCTTGCGACAAGTGACAGAGGGCGACAGTGCTGGCAATTATAAATAATATTTGTGTAGCTTGTTGCATATGCTTGCTCAAACGTAATTCAACTAATATTAGAATAAATATTTTTATAAAGTATTATGCGTGGTATTGTAAGAGCAATAAAAGCAAGATGGTGATAATTAGATCAAGAGACCTTAGAAAACATAATGTTGATTATGAGACAAGTAGAAAATTAATTCAATACATAATGCTTTTCATATGAAATTATTTTTGTAGAAATTATGTATTGTAAATTTCGTATGCATCTTGCTCCCTTTGTCGCTTGAACATACTATTGTGGTTACCCCTGCTACAATTTCCATATTTTTAAATGCAATTATTGCTATTTACTATAATGATGTACATAAATAATAAGTAAGAGGTTTATAAAATATTATTTAAGTACTACCATTGCTATTTGTCTTCATATTTCATAACTTACGCATAAGAAATTAATTTATCACGAAATTTCATATTAGGATCGATTTATATGTACAAATAACGATTGTACTTTTTTATAGTAAGCACAATTAATTCGCAAATGTATACGCGACATTACCATAGGTCAGTGTTGTCCAAGGATGGAGCTCTTTACATGTATTCTTTCACATGTGGTTACTATAAAAGAAGAGTTTATGAGGAAATTGTCATAGCTGACGTACAATTCATTTTTCCTATACATACCGCTTGTAAAACAAAAGATATTTTAATTTTTGTGAGAAGTATTTATATTGGGCGTGTGTGTGTAGTGGAATAAACTAGCGTTCCTGTACTATTGCGTCAAAGTGGGAGAGGCTCTTTAAACTTCGGGTCTTATTAGCTTGGACAATACTGGCGTAGGTTATAGAAATTTAAAAGTGATTTACGCCAAATATGAAATTGACTATTTATATTATTATGTACATTCACATACACTGTAAATTTCATATCGATATTCGCTGCTACTTTCTTTACTTTTCTTTTAATTTTCTTCAACATAGTTATGTTGATATACATGTATGCGCATACAATTTTGTCTTGGCTGTAAATTGTCTGTACTATCTTTATTTCTTTCAAAAAAGTTAATTAAAAGTCGAATATGATAAGAGTCGTTTTAAAATTTTGATTCATGTTTACCCTAAAAATGATCTCTAAATTTATTCGCAACTTTTACGGCTGTACAAAAAATTTAAAAATTTTTTTTTAATGGAAAATGAAATTGACTTTTTATTTATAGATATTTTAAACAAAACAGAAATTTTTATACAAACATTTTTTCCTATTATTTTCAATTCAGGTGAATTATAAAATATGCAAATTAATATAAATAAAAAATTGTGTTCAAGTGAGTATATGTTTTATTGTTTGGTTATTAGAAAAATTGATATACAGTATTTAATGATCAGTTTAATATGAATATATTAAACGCATAGATTGTATTACACCGCACTAGGTTATAGCAGTACATTAGAAACTTGAAGATTTAATTAATATTAGTTTCTTATGCTATATATGAGAAATTTTATTGTTAAATTTCAACCAAGGTACAACTATTCTAATTGATTCCGAGATTTGATTAATTACGAATACTATAGTTTAAAAAATGTTTGTGACGTATTATAGAAAGAACGACTTCGTCTTTGATTTCCTTTATTTTGTTTTGTACAGGAAAGAAAATATTTTACGTGAGCGTAATTATTTATTAAATTACGAATTACGAGCAAGCGAATTTGCAAAGATATCGTGAGGATAATTGCGCAAGCTGGGTCCGATATTCGTAAGGGACGAGTCAGTCCGAGCGGACGTGCTGGTACGCAACGCTGACAATCAGTATAGCAAGTTCAGTAGTAGGCTCGCGCGCCTGCCGTGAGGGTGGCTGCTTGGCACGTAGCCTGCAGCTCGCCTCGTTCGTGCTTCCCTTCTGTTCCATCATTCTCGTTTTCTCTTTTCTTTCAACACGAGCCGTCCATTCTTGTACTGCCATCACGTTTTTTTTTTTTTTTATCACGAACAAATTGTCTGTTATACTACAAAACTAAACATATCTTAACAGGTGCATGTGTGCGTGTGTGCGTGTATGTGTGTGTATACAGAGAAATTAATGCATATCAAAAATTAACAAGCCAAGATTCATTGTGTAGTGCAAGTTAGCCTAGATGCTGCTCTGATCAGGTGAGACCTGCATATTTTAAAAGTGTAATTGTATTTCGAGTGAAATAGTAGATGTCTCTTTCTGTTTGTATTTTGATAATCGCTACGAGGCAATGTTTTTAAATTGAGAAGCCATTAATCTCGATCGAAATATCAAAGTTTTTACTTCTAAAGTCAAATGACAAACTCCTATAAGAAGATCTCTTAGGAAAACATAATGGAATTATAAATTTATACGTCTGTGCCTAAATGAAAACTAATAATAAAGTTTATCGTAAGTTCAAAGTTAGGTTATTTACCATTCGAGTAATTTAAATCTCTCAGTTCGACGTTTAAATTTGACGGTTGAAATATTTTATTTGAATTTTCATTATATAACCACTCGACAATAAAGCGCTTGCTTTGCGTTTGAATCTGTAATCGATCCAAATAATCTGTATCGTAAAACTTCTGTTGCGCTCTGATTAACACGCAACATCGATTAATATTAACAATCAGGACATTAAATCTAACATACGAATAAAGGTATTTTTTGACTACGTAGTACGTTGAATACAATGAGCATGTGTATGTCAGTTTTGAATTATTTATTCTTGAATGCTGTGTACTGTATTAGTTCAAAATGTAAAATTATGTATATTCAATATTATAATATTTTATTTTTATAGTATCTTCGAATAAATATAGTTCACTTGTGCTTCCATTTCCATAATTCCATTATATGTTATCTGCTACGAAAAAAATTGCAAATTTCGAAACAATTATTTCTCATTATAGCTTGCGTACAAAACTCTTATTTCAAATTATGCATTATTTAAAAATTTATCACCAATAGTAAAAATGTGCACGCTTGAATTAAAGTTTTTAGATTCTGCACAAGAATTGTATAACCATTTCTTATTTTTACTCGTCAATTCTTCTTTTATCATATTCAAAATTGTTCTTTCTTACATTTTTGTCAGTTTCTTTCTTTTTTTGTACAACATATACCGAAGAACAACGAAAATTCTTGAAAAGTGCACGAAGAATATTCTGTAGACCGGTAAAGTTTCCGTATACCGTGTTTTTGGTGAGAAATTTACGAAATTGAAGAAGGTATTTAAGCACGGACCGCAACACGATACTTATTTCGTGCCAGATTAAACGTCTGGAAGTTTTATTGCTCGTGAAATGTTGGTCATCCAGCAGGACTTTGTTTTCTTTATAGTTGGAAAGTGAGCATATGGCATTCTCGGTGA